AGCTTAAAATATTATAAAAGTTTTTTTGTTTAAATAAAATAACTATTTAATTTTGCATTATTTTTGGTCTTGGTAGGAAAAAAAATGCGATGTGACACTTTACAAACATCAAACGTTTTAAAAGTAGAATAATTACGCGGTAAACGCGTATCTGTAAAATAATTGATCTAACATTGGTGCATGATAGCGTCTTGTTTTGTAAATAGCATCGAAAAATATTAAATGTTTTTATTAATGGACTTGCTTATATTTGGAATTATGTGCTGATAGGAATAATTATAAGAGTAGTTTCAAATATTTTTGCTCAATCGTAAAAAGACCTTTTTAATCCGGTTTTCAGAATTAAGTTTGAGAAAAACGACGGTTAAGAGGAACTTTATTATCGAAGTTTGTTTTTGATTGATTCAATATTTAAAACTACTAGCTGAAAAATGTAAATTAAACTAAAAAAACTTTTCTTTTCTACAAAGGATTACACACCAAATTTACTTTGCAGACTATTTTTCAGTTTTTTATAAATATTCCATATATCTTATAGCCATTGTTTTTGTAATGTTCCTTAGCCTCGTTAGTATCTAATTTAGCACGTTTAAATGCTTGCCGAGATACTAACGATACTAAGTAGTTATGTCATCGGTTGAAAATCTCAATTAAATAATAATTATATTAGCGTAATTATCTCAATGGCATTTTTAACCGATACCAGTCATAGTCGGTGAAAGGGTCGTGCCCTAACATTCAGGAAACAACGAATGCTTTGAAATTTACGAAGTCAAGTTTTATATAAAAACTTCCGCTGAATTATAAATTATTTGATTTGATAAATTAACATTAGAGACGAGAGATTGGGGGTTCAAGATGCAAAGTATTGTTTTCACAACACAAGTCAAATTAATTTTACTCTATATAGTGATAGAAGTGATAAATATGAAATTTTGTGATTTAAAGAGGATTTTAAGTACACTATAGCTTATAATTCTTGTAATATGTATTTTTTTATGCTGTATTGCACAAAAATATGGCTTTTTTAAACGTGAATCCAAATAATATTACAACACAGAAAACTTTGTTTAAACACAGCGTTTTAAAACAATAATTACCTTCACTGATAAATGTATTATTTAAATAATGTTTTTACTGGCTTGGATTTGAAAAGGTTCATTATCTATATCTTCTATGATGTTAGTTGTTGGAGTTGTAATGTAACCATTTAAAATGATCATAATAAGTTGATAAAAGGTAATGTTTGACTACTTCCTATCACATTTATAACCTTCTACATCTTATTTTTTTGAATAAAGAAAATATAATATAGGAATCCTGCAGGAAAAGGATTTTAACTACTGTCGGTTTTTTTTAAAGTAGCCGTTACAGTCCAGTTCTTAGATTCTTTACTTTCATAACAGTTTAATTTCATTCATAACAACACAGGTAACGGACCAATACGGTTCAAGGATTGAGAGAGAAGAAGTAAAATTGTAATGCTTCGAGCTTCAACTAATCAGCTGTTCAGGCCAATTTAATTGTTGAGCGGTGCAATTTATCCTTACGCAATCGTTGCGTAAACTACTTTTATCCACTTATTAAACAATAATTCATTTTTTTCACATTTAGGTAGATAACAGGTAAATTGAACATGTTTGTTAAATGTTACCAATAATACCCTGAAAAAATTAAAACACTTTATGATATACAGTATTACTGTAAAATGTAAATCGTAGTTTACTAATTTATCCGAACCGATAGCATACTCTACAGTTAAATATGAATACATGCTTATGGATACGTTTCTATGAATGTAAAAAAACTTATTATAAAAGTTCTTGTATATTCTTAGAAAAATTTAAATCATAGGGAAGTGAAACATGGAGTTAATTGAAAACGGAGTACAGTTTCCAGTGACTGCATTCTCTGCTTTATTTTTATGCTGGTGGAGCGGGTTTAAATTAAAATGGGAATCATAATCTAAACCTGGAATTTTCTTTAAAAAAGAGCTGGCGTCAAAATCTTACTAATATTATAAATCTGAAAGTTTGTGAGTTTGTGTGTGTGTGTGTTGCTCAATCACGCATAAACTACTGGACGGATTGGGCTGAAATTTGGCATGATGATAGCTCACATTCCCGATTAACATTAAAGCATATTCTTATCCTAAAAATCCTTTCGGGCTCCGCCCCAGTGGCTCTGTAGTTCCCCATGTTAACCTTATGATTTTTCATATTTAAAAGGAATTAATGAATCTTAACAGCTGTTTCAATTAAATAAGTTGGTTCTGTTCTATGATGTTCAATAGCATAAAAGTTACAAGGATTACCAACAGGGTACAGCACTATTATTTTTTTTTAAATTTATGACAACAGCTAATTTCCAACCAAAAGGTGAGTGAGCGTAGCGAACGAACTTCAACCTGGAGGCGAGTTAGCGTAGCGAACGAGCTAACCTGAAGGCAAGTGAGCGCAGCGAACGAGCTCCAACCTAAAGGTGAGTGAGCGTAGCGAACGAACTTCAACCAGGACGTGAATGAGCCATGCGAATACTTATGAAGTTAAACGGGGCAAAGCCCGCGGGTACAGCTAGTACAATAATATAAATATTATTAAGATCGTATCTATCATAGTCATAATCTCGACACGTATAGCTATGTGTTGTCAATGGGGAGTCAATAAGATATCCTTTCTTAACTATAAAAGGCTAAGTACTGTTGATCCTATGTAATCCTTATGGATAACGCGTTTCGAGGACTAAATCAACATCGGATCTTGCGCAAGAACAACTAATAATAAAACTGTCGCTTCGAAAAGGTCGTCAATAGCTTATATAAGGAACACGGACACATACAATTACAAACGGTGACAATTATAAGATACAAAACGAGTAGGCCTACAAACAAAATTTCACAATATTCGACCGCGTGCGCACAGTTACACCTGTAACCTGAAGGGGTTGCATGACTGTGGTGCGGAAGATGGTCAGGCGGTGGACTTTGTACCTCTCGGCTTCTTGTTGAACAGCTGTTCTTGGATCTATATAAGAGTATCATACAATTCTTCGTATTTGTAGTTTATTGATGTGTTAGGTAAAATGTTGACTGTTTTACATTTCTAATTCATCTAAAGCGTCCATAATGGTGACTTTATTGCATTCATGTAGGGGATTTAAATCGGTCTCAAAATCGCTATAATTTTGGTTTTCGTTTACAAGATGATCATCAAAATTGGATCTGGATGATTATTTGCTTTAGGCAAATGTTCTTTAAACCTCGTTTAAAATGCCCTGCCTGTTTGACCAATGGAAATTTGGTTACTTTCATCACATGAAAACTTGTAAATACCAGTTCTAAAAGCAATTTATTAAACATCCAAAATTCTACCTCAAAAGACCTTTCAAGATTCACATTTAAAACTGTTATAATGGAAGCTTGTTAGTACCACTATATCTTTGAATGTGAATTCTATAAATCAATAAAAAGACAAGGGAGAGGGATACCCTGTATAACATTATATTTTTAGTTGCCATTCGTCCTTCCGTTGGATCGTTATCTTTAAAATGACAACTAAATCGTAAAATTTGGTTAGGTAGGACGAGCGCAAAAGGGATGTTACAGAGAATCATCTGATTGTAATAAGTATATTAATAGATAATTATAATAATAATATTATATAATTATTTGGCCAGCGACTAAAGCATGGCAATTCTAGATGACAATAAAACCATGGTGACGAATGTAAAGCTTATACCTATATAGGAGCATGAGCAGAACATTAATTAAAATGCGGTGTGTTTCCAATAATTGGAATTATATAGAACTGCTTTTATTGCACTATAATTAACGGGCCTTTTAATTAACATTCAATGCTCGTTGAGCGACCTTTTTAATCGAAAACCCTTGTATACATTTGCAGGAACATATTACGTGATCAATCCCTCCAAGTATTGAAATATGGGGATTCGTTTTACATTCTGTATTCTATGAACAGACTAATAGGCCATTCGCATTTTAAACGAAGATTTAAAATCTATAGTTATTTATTTGTACAACATGTATTATGTTGATGGATTTGATTTGATAGAAAAACACATAATTCCACCTAGTTTTAAATTTATTGTTTATACAGAACCTGCATTTGTGTGACACCCTGCATATTATTGATAAATTTGACCAGCAAAGAACAAGTAATGGGTTATATTAATAATTGTACAATGGGATTTAACTACATGGGCCTTAGATACTATCAAATTACAACGATAAACATAACCTTGTTACAATAATGGACAACGGTTTGTTGGTTGTAATGTTTTTAAGTTTCACATGTGATGGTACAAAACAGAGCTACAATCAATAATTAGTTTTAAAAGCCGTAGTTAATAGTTCTGGGAGAAATTATTTTGGAAATAAAACAAGGTACGTTAGAAGAAACACGTTTTAGTTTTGTTTGATATTTTTGGGCAATCTCTACATTGTATAGTCTAGTTATTAATACAATTTTTAAACTATTGTTGTTAAAACAAACAAAACGTTGTACACAGTATCAAGTTATCATTTAAAAATTTTATTGATTTGTAATGTATAGATTTTTAAAAAATATTTTTTGATTGTTGAAGGCTAGTTAAATTACAAATTGACACAGGGTTGTACTTGACCGCGGGTCAATTTCACACATGTCAAACACAGAATATAGCCTGGACATGGTGACTCCATATCAAGCACCAAATCAATTTTATCAATTTTATTTTGCGGTTAAATCTCTGAATACAGGAAAAACTGTACATATTTTGCAATCCTGTTGTAAATAGTGACACTTCTTATACCCATCGTAAGCCTGCAGAAAATGTATAATAAGGTTCCATAATAACGATACAAACTTGAACATTTTACATTTTACAAGCTAATACTCTTTTTGTAAAATAATCATATTCTAGAGTCATAAATGTAGCATGTTATTAATAATGATTCATTAGATTATACTTAAGAGGATTTATGTGGCAACACTAATAAGTGTCAGTCGTAAAATGTACCTATAAAAGATATAAGATGTTGTGATTGAAAGCTATTACTTACAACACCTTCACCATGTTGAGAGTTACGCTGTTTTTTGTCATCTTCTTTTCTGCAGTACTATTAGGTAACAAAAGTCATTAAAACTATCATCTAATTTATCTGATTTAAAAAATCATAGCTTTTTTACAAATAAAGATTTCTTATAATAGGAATTGATGCAGCGTTAAAACTATTCAGCATAATGAATATGAACGTGACTAAATGAATATGGCTATATGAAATAATGTGATTATATGACAAATTATAATTGGTTTTTTAGTATCAGGTGTAAGTGACACTGTCTGATATTATACTAGGCCTACTACGTCTATAAACAAAACTAAATACTAACGTCTTGTTTTAGGTTCAGCGTTGGAGAAAGGCCAGGTAAGTAATTCTTTTATTTACAAAAACAATAAGTAAAAAAAATTAAAAAAAAACACATTCTGTGACTTAAAAACACAAGGAAAACCCCCATTTTCATTAGTGGGGATATTTCGCCACTCCTTTATACGTTCATGACTTTAAATAATGTTTAATAAAATATTTAAAATATTAACATTCTACAAAATATTTTCAAAAACAATGTACTGTATAGCAATATGCTTTTTGGGACTTGAAGAGTATTGAACTGAATGTACCTGGTTTTACTTACAAATTTCAACGTTTTACTTCCAGGAAAAAACAATCATCTCTAGGTGTGTAATTTCGATGAGCTGATTCATCCTTGCTCTAAATTTACTTTTCCTTGTCCTCAATCAGTTCCCCATCACGTGCTGGTGATTTCTATTATATTGCTATTATCAAAGTCAGCTTTTTCTACTATATAAAAATCTAAATACAAACAAAAATATGCGTTTTAAGCAAGTATTTTAGGATAATGTAGCCTCTTTGTTGCACAATAAATATGACCTTAAAATTCTGTTTTATCTAAATTTAATCTGAGAATATCAATTAATCTAAGTTTTACATTGATATAAATGCTTGTCATTTCCCACTATTTCATATTTAAAAATAATAGTAATTTATAGAAAAGATAGAAAGAATAGTTTTATTTTGAATGAGGTTGTTATTCTTTATGTGTGTAATTTGTGTCATAATGAAAAATAGGGTACTTATCATAGTTTATGAAAAAATCATAGCCTGCACCGTCATTTTCAACCTGAAAGTGATTTTCCGGCTCTTGCATTAATTACTCCCGTCCTTGGCTTCGCCGAGCACGTTGGATTTGGTGTTAAATATGTGAAATTCGAGCGCGCACTGGAAAATGCTACTTTAGGTTCGTGTACTATTTCACTACTACATTCACTACTGCAATACTGTTTCATCAGTTTATTATCGGCGCAAAAGTTATGTGAATAGTGACATCGAGAATCCAAAAAAACTAGTAGTTCTATTATAATGATCGTCAAATCTAGCATTGCTTGCCGTTAGTAAGCATCAATTTATGTTAAAATCTTATGAAACTGTATGTTCGGTCTCTGGCAAAGCATAAAACTGTTTTACTTTATTTCGTCAAATATTTCAACGATTACTGTACTTCTATCAGCTAACATGTTTCGTTGCGAAGACAACTTTTTCAAAGCCTGTAAACTCCTCAATTGGACGTATGTGCATGTTTAACTATGTATACGTATATTAAACTAAATAGTCCATGGATTATTTCAGTGAGGTAAAGTAATACAAGTTTTATCCTAGGGGACAAAGACAAGAATTTAAACGTCTTTAACAAACTGTTCACTATTTATTTGGCTAGCTGTTACCCACGGGCTTCACCTCGTTTCACTTTATAAAAACTATTGATCGGTTAAGTTATGCTGAAATAAACAATACAGAATACAGTAATACAAACAATTAATCACAACTGATTTTAATAAGGTAATAAATTGAAAGAATAACAAACAAATAAATGCAGCCGAGGTATTCTTAACATTAGGCATATGGAAAGTTCCCTTTGGAAAGGAATACGATTAAGGTCGTATTAAAGGGCTATTTATGAAATAATGGATAGTTTTGCGCAAGGTTTCTCGTCATGACTAACATTTTAAGTATATGGCTTATGGGGGTGTGACTTTTAGTTTTCTCAAAAGTTCGTGGGTACTTTGGGATTATATATGGATGTTTACAATTGATTAAACTAACACACCTACTTATACCTTATTTAGTGTTTTACTAAAGGAAAGTAATTAAGTTTAGATTAGCTTAATATATTGTGTAACTTATTTTGTTTTTGTTTGCCCTCAGATTTGTGTTCCTGGAACGACGTTTGTAAAAAACGGCAACAATTGCCTTTGTAATAAAGATGGAACTGGAATGTCCTGTACACCGAAAAAAGGTTAACATTTTGAGAGCAAAAAAAAGTTGTAATAAATCATTGTATGGATGAACAACAGATTTATTGGTTTATCTAATTGGCACACCTGTTTCATTAAACATCGTACATGACATTAGTCTTTGTCCATTTACAAGAAAATTAAGATTTGAAAAAAAAAATACTCGCAAGTGACTGCAGCAATAAAGGGTTTTCATGAAAAATAAATCAAAGAATGGGATAATCACAGTACTTTATACATTATAAGGATTATTACCCAGTAGCTTAGTCATTGTATATTTTGATTAACACATTGGTAATAACGATTTCATTGAATGTTTAACAATCAAACAAGTAAGTTGTTATTTAGCTTTTATGCGCATAACATTTTATCGCATTGAAAAATATTTAATCCAAAATGATAGGAGCATCGTCTGTATTTTATATTCAATTCATTTTGTATTAAATACTAGTTCTCAAAAAATTTTAGTATAACATATGAGTATGAAAAAATAATCAAGAATATTATCTTTTTATGAGTTAAACTATATAGGTGTCATTATTTGGATTGATATGAGTGTTTAACTAAGTTAAATAACTTAATTTGTAATTAAAGAGGATGGTTAGAAAGCTTTAGGAAGCTATCAATTGATAGTGGTTAAATCAAACAAAACTTAAAGTAAGAAACACCAGTGTAAAACAAGTATGGTAATTGTTCACAGTTTCACAAGCAAACCTTTACGAACTTAGGTATATTTGGTACTTACGTATTATACGGAGGCCACTTATTTTACAGCGCGCTGCGGTGGTTAGGTTAGGTTGGGTTATCATAAGTTTTTATGACTCATCTCGTATAGTTCGATTCATAACGAAACTAGGAAAGTTCTACAAACATATTTATGATAACCCAACTTAACCCAACCGCCGCAGCGTGCTGTAAAATAAGTGGCCTCCGTATAATACGTAAGTACCGTATATTTTAGTTGGCAAACCTTTTCAATCTTGACTTTGCTTCGTGATATCGTAAAAAATAAATAATGAAGAAATTACATTGTATTTTTTAATCTTGTCCCTGATAACAAGACAGTAAAATTTCGCAGACATCCCTTTGTATTTGATCATCAAAGCAAACAACCTAATAAAGACCTCCCGCATCACCTTTACCTCATTTGTTAATTTACTTTGATCTATTACTTTGGCTTAGGAAGTTAAAGGATGAAGTTTTATGAACCACAGATGGGTTTTTTATTCGGTGTGGTAGGTTTAGTGGTTATATAACTGAACCGTCCTGCGGTTGCTGGATTAATTCCCGCCAATTGCCAATAGGTGTTATATGTGCGATAATGTCGAAAACCAATAAGTTCAGAGACCTCCTTTCAAAAAAATAGAAAACAAGTCTCAAGGAGACGAGGATATTATCTGTAAAAGAGGACATTGAATAGACACTTTTGGCCATTTAATTGAAATATATTTTGTTTTTATTAAGGTTACCATTTGATAAATGAGAGTGGTAACATTAAATTATTGACTTTTCTTACACCACTCTCTCTATCTGAATCACATCAAATCAAATAAAATCAAAATAGCATTTAATCCGCCAAAATATTTACAAATTACATCATATTAGTCCAAAACAGTAATGTTTACAATATTGTTTAGTTTTTAATAATAAAAAAATCTATATAAACATAAAAATATAAAAAAGCTTTTTAAATTAGCGAATTATCTTCCACCAAGAAGGAATATCTCTGTGTGTGGAAGAGAGTCGTATTATATACTGTTGTTTTTTAAACTAAGTAATAAAGCAAAAAAATGATTTTGGAAGAAAAAATCTATTTTGGAACAATATATACACTGGAGGAATTAATGGTTAGTGAATATAATGCTATATTATAAAAATTAGTAGACCCTTCCTCTATTAAAGGTTTACTATAACTGCTCGAACTGTTATTAGGACACTTAACATTTGGAGATTGATTTACTATAAAGATTAAGCTAAATAATATAAGGGGTTTAATAAATAAATAACACCAGTCAGGAGAAAAAAAACAACATACAGGATATGAAAGGAGAGTGTTTTTGTAGGTACTATACATATTGCAACCCAAATACATTTATAAATGGAAGTGCAAGTATGTGCTGTATAAAAGGTAAAGTAAAATCTTTACAGGGCCACTAACTATCTCAGCTAATTGTACATAAAGAAATGGCCCTAGAATCAAAAGATAATATATACGTCAATACGATTGTTGTTTTCAAATGTATTTTCAAACCATTGTTGTGCATTGTTTAGGAACTAAACAATGTCGGGGTTATCTGCTTGTTAACACAGACAATTCTTTTATTGTTATGCCTTTTTGTTTTTATTGAAAAGGTTGATTTTTATAAGGTAAGAATTGTTTATTTTCCTCATAAAAGTATTTTATTAAACTGAAAAAAAAAAAACTGTTGGAAATAACTGAACCCTTACTAAATCGTCATATCGCGGGACTGAGGATCAAAAAATTGGCTTAGTTTTCAATTAATAAAATTGTAATTTGAATAATTGTTATATAAAATAAACCTACTTAAGTGTAGTCTTATTTTGTATTTGCTTTATAACTAAGTATAATGGTAACTAGGTATTTATACATATACAATTGATTTATCTTACCTATATTTATGTTTAGATAGTATAAAGGTCACTAGTTTTTATATTAAGTGGTGGTGGTTAGTTTTTTAAGTGGTAAAAAGACAAAAAAAAAAAAAAAATAGAAACAAATGGATTGCCTTGTAAGTTTGCATGTTGTGATTAAATTTTGGAAAGGTAAATGTGTTAGTTTACATGAAGATAGCAATCAAGAAGTGCAGTGAGGTTCCATGTATCTGAGGACTACAAGTAAAATGTGGAACTGTTAGTCAATGTATGCGGACTTAATATCATTTTGTTGTAGTTAATGATTCAGAGGACTTAGTGACTTATATTCCTAACAATGAAGTTCCAAAAATGTTTTAGCGAGAAATGAATAAACAAATTAATGTGTTCATATTTTGTGTTATCATTTTGTAACGTTTTTGTAATTTTTATTTAGTGAAAATGAAAAAAAAACAGTTTTGTAGCGGTCAACACAATTTAAATAAAAATAAGAAATGTCAGTTACAGTTTAATTCTTTGTTAGTTGTTTAAAATCAGACTGTTATAGACAGGAAAATTCAAATAATGTAATGATGGACTAAAGCTGGTCTGTGATTGGTTACTTTCAACCAATCAGAGAAGATCTTCTTGTTATGTATAAATACTAACGAGTCCTTGCTCTAGGCCTCAGTTGGTGGACAGAATTTGTTAAAGTATCTTGTGATTTATTGTAAAGTTTTAATCTTAGACATGTGCTCTCAGGATGATCTGGTATGTACCCACAAATTAATATTATAGCTTTAGTTCATCCGTTTTAAAATCATAAATTTAAATATGGTAGGGTTATAAGTAAAAAAAATATATAAAACATGCTTGTTTAAACATAACATCACTGATTCAATTATTTCATTTTTTTTAGGGTTCAAGTATCATGGAAGAAATGTAAGAAATACTGAAATGAACTTTTATTTTAAACTAAGAAAGGAATTGTTGACCGCTATAAAGAAGGTATGTAAGAAGAAAATAATAAAATTAATTTTGTGTTGTGACTTTTACAAAAGCGACTTTTAATAAGATCCAGTAGCCAGTAGTATTTTAATAAAGCCTTTTCTAAATCTAAATGTGCCTCAATAATTATAGAAGTTTCAAATTGACTCAAAATGAGGTTACAATTTATAAGTTGTTTTTAGCGAATTTCCCATATAGGGAATAAGCTATTACCGTAGGTCTCATGGTAAGACCTAGACTCGGGACCGATTTACTTTTTCGTTATGAGGTCCCCAGAAGCCAAAAACACCATCCGTTCAAATTCATATATATATATATATATATATATATATAAATATGAAAAATAGAAAAATAGGGCTACTATAATATATAAATAAAGATTAAACATTAATAAACTTAGTACCCAAGTAAAATTATTTATTAAAATATTTACTGACTATAGTTTCGGCTCTAAGGCCATTTTCAAAGTAAACAAAAATCAAAATAAGATATGTAAATAAATAAATAACATATGATTTTATTAAACTTTTCTAACTTGTAACATAATTTTGTCTTCATTGATAAATTTATATACTATATGATGTGTTGTACTTATTTTCATTAATATTTTCTCAATTTTGCTATTGTTTCATATATTGGATTATTCAATTTTGGAATCATTGTATTTAAAATATTTGATTTGTTATTTTTGTAGTTCTAATCCAGTAAATTTGTATTTAAATTCACTCATAGCGAGAAAGTTTTGGGGTAGTTTTGATTTTTTCCATTTCTTATGTATTTTTGGGTACTGAATCCGAATCTGAGGTTTGCCAACAAAAATTCTTGACGCAACATTGACAAAAATGAGAAAAATATGGAAACAATGATATTTTTTGTAATATTTAGCTTATAACTCAGAAACTATCAACTTTTTGTTATTAGTCTATATAATAAAAATTAAAGTACACAAAATTTGCTACAAAATGTACCCCTAATGTGGTAATCTCCGATGAACCGTTTAGGCTCCAGAGCTATTTGAAAATTAAAACATTTTGTGTTAGTTTTTAAATTTCTCCAATTATTCTGTCAATGACACATATTCATTGTATATGCCCAGGCAAAGGTCTTATATAAATCCAAAGTTTTAAAATTGATTAATTTTGTGTTACTGAACCGTTGACTTTTTATTTAGTGTACAGAAAAGTTACACGAACTGTTGCCGTTTAAATTATCCTCGCTCAGAGGGTTGTTATATGGTGGAAACAGAATACATTGTGTATTCAGTTAACACATATTGTTTGGGTTTGTCTATATTATAAAATGCTCTATTTTTATAATATAGATTAATAACAAAAAGTTGATAGTTTGTGAGTTATAAGCTAAATATTACAAAAAATATCATTGTTTCCATATTTTTCTCATTTTTGTCAATGTTGCGTCAAGAATTTTTGTTGGCAAACCACAGATTCGGATTCAGCACCC